CTTCCTATTCCACTTCTCGCTACTCGCACCGCCATATCTTAGGTTTCCCTCGCAACAGTTTTCTAACGTGCCCAAGTTTTAGTCTATTTTTAAAAAGCACACTAGAAAACCGAAATGCCTTCGCTGGACCTTGCTGTCTCTTCGAGTCTATTTATCGCCTTCCTTGTGCAGCCAGACATCTCAATTTCCTCTTTCCACACGGCCCCTTAGATTTGCTAGCTTCCTTTCTCTGTCGTTGCTGAAATTGCGTTCACAGAGGTCACCGGGGATGCCCTTGGGGGCCCAGTTCTCACGGGGCATTGTTTGAACGCCATTCTTGCTTCCTCAGGCGCACTGGTCCTGGCCCTGCGCTTCTTCCTTTCGACCTTGCGTTCTGACGCACTCCTCTGGTTGGTCTTTGTCCGCCTATCTCCTAGAGTTCCCACGCTCACCCACTGCACAGCACGGCGTCTAAGAGTCTAAACTCTGACATCAGCCTGCTTGTGGCTGAATTCTAACTCTGCTACTGATTAAATGTATGACCTTTGGCAAGGTCATCACTCTTGCCTCAATTTCCCCATTCTTAAAATTGAGATGGCAAGATACTTACCTTAGATTTGGTGTAAGAATCAAACAAGATAGTCTGTGTAATATTTACTTACCCCAATGTTTGGCACATAGAAATATTCAATAAATGTTATCTGTTAGCATGATAATGTGCTCCTAGAGCTTTGAAATGTCATTTTCCCCGCCCTTTTAACACATATTGCCCATGTTACCCAACACGGGGCCAGACAATAAACAATTATTGGTAGATTTATGCACGTGGTTGTAGAGTCCAAGGAAGGAGGAATGATGGGAGGAGGGAAGATCTCAAATTCTGCAAATACCATCACGCCCAGGTTTTTGATTTGTTTTGTTTTACCAATAAATCATTTAAATTGCTGATAGTTTAAAACAGTCCTTTCAGGACCAGTGGTGTTTATTGAGCAGGAAGGGGCATCAACAGTTAAAACTCTAGTGTTTGGTGCACCAATCAGTCACAATGAGGCCGCTTGGCCTGGAACACAGTGCCCCATCCGTAAATTAAATGCAGCCCTAACAGGACTAAGGAAAGGCTACAGCGGCGGCTGGGTGCGGAGGCCGCCCGGAACCCGTCTATTGAGTGATGCTGCCATCTGGTGGCAGCACGAGGGAACCGTTCTGGGCAGAGCCGTTTCATCTGGTGCAGAAGAGCCTCAAAATTGCAGTCCTTTCTTTAAAAAAGTGTGGGTAAGACTCGGAATGAGGGAAGAATAAGGGAAAGCACAGCGCTGGGGTGGGGGTGGGGCGAGAGAGAAGGGGGAGGAAAAACACCTCAGCGCAATTTGGGGAGGTAAAGGGCACAAGTGATGCTTGTGTCCATCTAGAATAACCTTGTCGGTAGCAGAGGACAAGTCTCTCCTCCACCTCAATATCATCTAAACTTTGATTTTTTTCCTTCACTTTCCAACACTCAGTGCTAACCCGTTATCCTGAACACACTTTGCTTCACCTTCTCATTTCCCTTCTTCTGCGTTAGGAATTCGGGGCTGGAAAAATTGAGCCGAGTCATCCCATTTGGCTGCCACCCCAAGAACAACAGCCCCTCCCTCCAACTCGCTCCCGACCAGCGCTCCAGACACAAGCGCATCACCTCACCACGTGTCAGCCAGCCGCAGGTAAGGGCCAGCCCAGACTGCAGCGGGAAGAAGCCACCGCCCACTGGGGCTCCCCAGTCTTTCTGGACTGTCCCTCAGGCCACTGGTATCAGAGGGAGTTGACGTTCTCTTCGTAAAGTTGAAGTGGGCAATGTTGACCATCAAGACAATTTTTTTTTTCTTTTCACAAACTATGTCAATTCGATCTGTGTCAACCCATAGATGGACTAGAGACAATTATATTAAGTCGACAAACAGCTTTAGGATGAGAGGGGACGGAAGGGAAGATACTGATGCTTCAAACTGAAGTGTCTACGGTGTGTCAGCACACAGGACACTGTCTAGGAGCGGGTTATATCTTGTAACACAGTGACAGAAAGTGTAGATTTGGGAGTTTGGAACGCACCTCTGCCTCTACCGGCTTTCCCGGTCTCTAAAACAGGCATAATTAAACCTACCCCTCCAGGCTGTTGCGAAGATTAAAGGAAATACAGAAAAGGCCTCTTCTTTGAGAGGGTGAAACTGGATTTTAGAGAGTTAATGGGAGAAGTCGGTTAAAGCAGAGATTTATAAAAGATGACGCATACGTCAAATATTTTATTTTACCTTAAAACATAGAATTTCTCAATCTTTAATGTAGGGCCACGGCCTTTTCTTTGAACGGCCTTTTCCACTAGTTGGTGCTGTGTGAATTGTCTTTCTCGCATAAGCCATGCACATCGTACTTCATTTATGAGCTCTAGTTTTGGTTTCTTTCAGTGTAGTGAGAATGTAAAGACATCTGGGAAGGCACTTTCTGCAGAATCATTCTAATTCCAATAATCATTCCAGATTATTAAAACTTTTTCAAAACTTTTACTGTCCACACCTCATTAGATAGCAATTTTTTAAAACAGCTTCCCACTGTTGAATCTTTCTGAAACATTCAACCTTGCTTTCATAGCAACACCTTTCTTTGTATACACATATTTCATCAGTTGCTCTGATATTTAAATTTCCGTTACAACAGTCAAGTACAGCTGTCCTAAACTGATCCCTGGTAAGCATATAAGGACTAGTGGAGTAGAGGTCAGGAGTTACTATCAGCCACAAACATTGGTTGGTACAGTTCACAGAGGCCTTGGAGACCATGGTTAACCTGGCCGGTTGGTTAAGCGGAGGTCAGTTAAAACAGCGTCTCCTGCAGTATATACAAAGTGGTAAATATAGTGCCTAGCATATATAAATGTCTAAGAAATGGTGCTATTATTATTATTATCATTAAAAATAATAATAGAAATCGAAAGGATTGTTAGAAATTGAATAGTTGCTTTTTCTCATTTTACAGATAGAATCAAAGTGTTTTATAATTATGGCTTTTATATATACCTTTTGGTTTCAATAAGTAAAAGCATTATTATATAAAGTTAATATTTTGAGTCAGAAGGAGTTAAGTTTGCAAAGGCACCTAGGATTCAGCATAAAGCCCTGAACAGTCTTCTAAGTCACCTCAAACCCATGTCTGTTCGGGAAGACCCGGTAGAATGATAATGTGGCAAAGCAGCCAAA